AAGTAGTTGACATTTTCTCCCAATAGGGCTTCACTGTTAATCTGTGAGCAGCCCAGCAAACCCATATATACCCCAGAGTGTTAAAAGTGACTGGATTCTTCTTGGGGGAGGGGCAAAGGGGTTTCTCTGGTAAGCAAAATACTTAGATTAAAAAGGGGTTTCTCTGGTAAGCAAAATACTATACTATATAGTTTAGTAGGTTCCTGTTCTTGTAAGCATGAAGGATTTTATGCATTCTCACTTTTTCTTCTCAGTTTATAGCAGAGGCCTTTTTCAGAGGTCCCACCTGTCTCATATAGGCCAGAGGGAGCAATGCCCCACTCCCTTCCAGGGTCTACCATGGTGGGGGCAGAGAGAATCCTCAAGGAGGAGGTGACGCTTGGGACAGAGTTAGGGCTTCTTAGTGCCCTCTCTTCCCTCAGAACTTTTGCTTGCAGTATGATCCTTTGCTGTTCTGTGTTTTGTTTTCATGAGGGAAAGTATTGTTCCTCATACTCTGCTCCTAGAACTGCCTGCATCAGACTGGGGTGCTGAGTTATAAGTGCAGATTTCTAAGCTTAACCCCAGTCTTCCCAAATCTAAACCTCTAGGGGAGGGGCTGAAGAACTCTGCATTTGTGTTCATTATTAAAGATTGAGAACCGTTAGTTTTTTATTCAGCTTTCTTCAAATATTTATTACATGGCTAAGCATGGCTAGCATTATACCTGAGGTACAGTATCTACTAGACAGATGTGGGATCTACATTATAGTTCAGAGGATGTTAGGGGTTTGGTGGAGTAAACCACTGGATAGGCTAGGCACAGGCAGCTTGTATGCCACTTTTAAAGTCTGGCAGGGGACGTATGACATGATGTAGTAAGAAATAAGGAGCTTCTGGGCTCATTTGTAGACTGTGTGGATTAGAAAGAATGTGGACTTTAGAGTCAGCCCAACCTGACCCTACCATACTAGTGTGTGGCCTTGAGCAAACCATTCGACCTTTCTGAACCAGTGCTCCTTCTCTATAAATAAAGTTAAAAATAGTGCTTACCTTATAGGATAGTTAAATGACAATATAAAATGCTTAGTATGATGCTTGGCATATAGTAAGTGTGAAATTAAGAAAGGTTTTGTTACCCTGTTTTGAAGCTGACCATGTTCAGGAGTAGAAGAGTTAAGTTACTTGGCTAAAGTCATATAGCTTGGTGGGCCTGGGAGCCTGAATTTGAATTCTGGTTCTCCAAAGCCATCTCTTTGAACCTGAGCATTGTTCTGCCTCCCATAGGAATAATTCCTTCTTGGCGGGTTGCTCTGAAGCTTCATGAGAAAATGTCTGTTAAAGCAGCGGTCCCCAGCCTTTTTGTCACCAGGGACCAATTCTCCTATGAGAATCTAGTACCTGATGATCTGAGGTGGAGCTGAGGCAGTGCTGCTAGTGCTGGAGAGCAGCTGCAAATACAGATGAAGCTTCGCTCCTTGCCTGCCACTTGGCTCCTGCTGTGTGGCCCAGGTCCTAACAGACTACAGACTGGTACCAGTCCACAGCCCGGGGTTTGGGGACTCCTATGTTAAAGTTCTTAACTCAGTGCCTGGCACATGCTCAGTAATGTTAGTTTGTGCTCTCCCTTCCTGAGAACATCAGACAGCTTCCAGGAGTTTGAGGAACTTCTTGCTACTCCATCCTTATTGAAAAAGCTCAGGGTTTCTCACAGGTCACTGGAAAAATGCCTGCTGGCTCTAGGCAGGCTGCCCGCCCAGCTGTTTATCTTCATCTACACTTAGGTAGAATCCTTGCAGCTATGGATTTCTTCCTCCTCTAGGGTGAAGGCCATGCCGCCCCCTGGGAAGGTTCCCCGAAAGGAGAACCTGGGGCTGCAGTGCGAGTGGGGGTCCTGTTCCTTTGTATGCTCAGCCATGGAGGAGTTCTGCGAGCATGTCACTCAACACCTGCAGAAGTACCTGCACAGCTCTGAGGAGGAAGAGGAGGAGGAAGACCTGCTGGGTAAGGGAGCAGGATATGGGAAGGGCTCAAGGGAAAGTGGAAAATCTGACTTTCCTTTCTGCAGAGGGAGAAGGCAATCTGGAATAATGGTGATTTACTTCCCTAATTGCTTTTTTTGTTTATAAAAACATTGTAGACTTCTTACAGAAGACTCATCAACAAGGATTTTCAAAATCAGTCTGCCATCTTCCCATCAGAAGGCAATTACAGACAGTACTTTAGTGAACATTCTTTTTGACCTCTCTATACATAAATTGGATAACTATTGTTTTATTTTTTTAAAAAAAGATTATATTGTTCAAGCTGTTGGCAACCTGCTTTTTTTTTCATTCTCTGATAGTGTTTCACTTTTTTTCTTTTTTTTTTTTTTTACTATAACCACCAGTTAGGAATACATTTTACATCACAACCTTGTACACAAAAGTTAAAAAATACTTGAAACAATATTTGCCTTTATTAAATGCTCTCTGAAGTGTGCTATCTTATTCTCTTTCATTAAAAGAAAAAGTATGGTTTGTAATCCCCTAAATTGATTTCACCACCCACTAATAGGTCACAATACTGTTTGAAGAACTTGTTCTGTAGGAAGTGCAGAGTCAGCTCTCCTTACCCCACCTCAAATTCTGTTTGAAGTCTAGTGACTGTGAACTATAATAATTTCAAAGGTTAAGTAATATACAAAAGAGAGGATTATTATATTTTTAAATATAAAGTAAACCCCTAAAAAGCATTGAAAATATGGTGCTTAGAAATGCTAGAGAGATAGGAAGTGGGTTGGAATAGTTTGATGGACCTTCCTGGAGAAGATAGATCTTGAGCAGAATATGGGGGGAAGGAGGACTTGTCGTTTGACAGGAAGGAGTGGGAGGTGTCCCTCATCAGGAAGCATCTTCAGGAAACAGCAGAAACTCAGAGCTACAGACACCTGCTGCCTCTGAGTTTCTGGCACTGGGCTGTGCACACACCATCCCTTCTGCCTAGACCACACTTCTCCAGCAAGTTTACAGATACCTTTAAGATCACAACACAGGGACACTTTCAAGACATCTCTGTCTCCCTTAAATTAGCTCCCTCCCCTCTTAATAGTTCTTATGACTGGTTGCAATTTAATATTTATACATGTGATTATTTGATTAATGTTTTTTTCTCCCTGACTGAAAGCTGTGTAAATGCAAGGACTGGGACTTTTTACTGCTTATATCCCCAGCACTTGGTACACGATTAATGGTGATTAAATACTGGTATTTGCTGAATGAACTGGTAATTTGGTCAGAGTCTGGCCTTTTGACTTGCTGCTAAGTGCCACAGGTGGAAGGAGAGCTGAGCTTTGGAAAGTATCAGACTCTTCTTTCTAAAATCCTTTCTGCAGAGGAAGAATTCTCCTGCTTATGGCAGGAGTGTGGCTTTTGTTCTCTGGACAATTCTGCTGATCTCATCCGCCATGTCTACTTCCACTGCTACCACACCAAGCTGAAACAGTGGGGGCTGCAGGCCCTGCAGAGCCAGGCCGACCTCAGCCCCTGCATCCTGGACTTCCATAGCCGCAACATCATTCCTGACATCCCTGACCACTTCCTGTGTCTGTGGGAGCACTGTGAGGTCAGCAGGCAGTGCTGGTAATAGGGGTGGAAGGAAGTTTTGGATCTTAACTCAAGATGCCTTGACCCTTTCAGCGATTCCCTATATTCCCGAGATTCCTTCATTTCTTGGTAGCTCCCTTGGTTAAAAGTTTCTGTCCCCACCAAGTAAATTTGGGAGAGAGCCAAGAAGTCCCGTTTGGACACATAGGGGTATGAGTCCCTCCACCCACCTCAGTCCTTACCCCAAGTTGCTCCTGGCACAGAGTTCCTTCGACAATCCTGAGTGGTTCTATCGGCACGTGGAAGCACACAGCCTGTGCTGCGAATACAAAGCAGTCGGCAAGGACAACCACATGGTGCTGTGTGGCTGGAAAGGTAGGGCTATTCCTTAACTTCTGGCCTCTAAAGAAACCCTGGGGTTGCCAAGGGACCAGGGTAACTAGGGATGGGACCAATCCGTCAGGGCAAGGGTGGCAGCTCTCTGGAGAGACTTGGGGGTACCAGAGCCTACCCTGCGGGTTTGCGGCTGGAGACTGACCAGGCCTTCCTTCCCAGGCTGTACCTGCACCTTCAAGGACCACTGTAAGCTTCGTGAGCACCTCCGCAGCCATACCCAGGAGAAGGTGGTGGCCTGCCCCACCTGCGGGGGCATGTTCGCCAACAACACCAAGTTCTTAGATCACATCCGTCGCCAAACCTCCTTGGATCGTAAGCAATCAGAGAAGAAGAGTGGGAGTGGGTGTAGGCTGTCTTGATTATGATGGGGATTGGCATATTCTCAGGAGAGGAGGCCACCGAAGGTATCTGCAACTTGGCTACATTTACTTTTAGAGCTCAGTCACCTGACACAGTCTCTGTTGACTCAGATTCGTTAGACATTGTTATTTAGGGTTTACTGTGTGCCCTGTCAGTTATCTCAAGGAATCCTCACAACGGCCCCATGAGGTAGGTATCTTATTCCCCTTTTTGTAGATGAGGAAACTGAGGCTCAGAGAGGTTAAATCACTTATCTGAGATCACACAGCTAGTAAGTGGTCAAGGTGGGATTCTAATTCAGGTTTTCGACTTCAAGTCACATGCTATGTTCTATCCATAGTTCCCTAAGCTCCCCTTATCTCCTTAGGTTGTTCCCTCTGTCTGGGATGGTTCCCCTCTCTGGGACTCGTTCTCTCTGTGCCTCTCCGCCATCCCTCACAAACTACCCTTTCTTCTGCCTGCCCCACCCCAGAGCAGCGCTTCCAGTGCTCGCACTGTTCCAAGAGATTTGCCACTGAACGCCTGTTGCGAGACCACATGCGTAACCATGGTGAGTAGTTGGCCTCCCCCAACCTCCCTGCCTACCACCCATGGATCCACTGGCCCTCACCCCCTTCTCTGCTCCTCTCAGTGAATCACTATAAGTGCCCTCTGTGTGACATGACCTGTCCGCTGCCATCCTCCCTCCGCAACCATATGCGCTTTCGCCACAGCGAGGACCGGCCCTTTAAATGTGACTGTTGTGACTACAGGTAAGGGGAATCAGGGGCCAGAAAAAGAACTTGTGTTCCAGAGTCCCCCATGCCCTCCAACCCCTCCTGACCTCTCCTGGCAGTTGTAAGAATCTGATCGACCTCCGGAAGCACCTGGATACCCATAGCAAGGAGCCAGCTTACAGGTGTGATTTTGAGAACTGCAGCTTCAGTGCCCGATCCCTCTGCTCTATCAAGTCCCATTACCGAAAAGTACATGAAGTGAGTGGGGCTGGTGGTGGGAGAGGGCTAGCAGAAGTGTCAGTGGTACCCATAGTGAAGAGCTGGCTTCACTCTTCCTCCCCTCTCCATTAGGGATACTCAGAGCCAAGGTACAAATGTCATGTGTGTGACAAATGCTTCACAAGAGGCAACAACCTCACCGTGCACCTTCGCAAAAAGCACCAGTTCAAGTGGCCCTCAGGGCACCCTCGTTTTCGGTATGTCTCAATCTACCCTAGATTCACACATTTTTTTCCCATACCATTTCAACAAATTCCTTGAATTTGACAGTTCTTTGATGTCTACCAATTCCATTAGGCTCAAGGAACCTTGAGAATGGTGGAGCAAAGATTATTTTCTGATTTTTGAGTCCAAGCTACAGTGCCAGACCCAATAAATGGGCCCAAAGGCCTTCAGCCAAAACTAGAACTAAAGCCTAGGGGTCCTGATCCAGAGCTCCATGGTCACCTCATAAATCCTTTGACACTTATACCTTCCAATACAATTTCATTTTTCCTCCCTCTCTCACCTACCCCCTCTCTGGTTTCTACATAAAATTTTCCATTTTGAGTAGTGATCCTTCCCTCTTGTCTTTTCTTCTACATATTCCAATAAAGACCTTTTTGTCTTCAATGCCTATCATGTAGAGCCCTAGGGCTTCTTCCACCCCTCATATTTGTCCCTTACCTCGCCAAGCTCCAGGACATTTCTGTAGCCCCCTGCCCATGTTTGCTGCCTACTTTGTGCTCCTACTTCCCTAGGTACAAGGAACATGAAGATGGCTACATGCGGCTGCAGCTGGTTCGCTATGAGAGTGTAGAGCTGACACAGCAACTGCTGCGGCAACCACAGGAGGGATCAGGCCTGGGAGCCTCACTAAATGAGAGTAGCCTGCAGGGCATCATTCTAGAAACAGTGCCAGGGGAGCCAGGACCCCAAGAAGAGATTGAAGAGGAAGTAGAAGGCAGGAGTGTTGAGGGGACAGCCCTCTCAGCCTCTCAGGACACCCCCAGTCCCGTCATCCACGTGGTGAATCAGACCAATGCCCAAGGCGAGCAAGAGATTGTCTACTATGTGCTGTCTGAAGCCCCAGGAGAGCCACCCCCAGCTCTTGAGCCTTCCTCAGGGAGCATCATGGAAAAGCTTCAAGGAATAGCTGAGGGGCCAGAAGTCCAGATGGTGTGAAGGATGCAGAGCCTGATCATTCCTACCCCAGGCCCTAGGGTTTGAGCCAGGCTGGTGGCAGCGCCCTTACGGGCAGCCCTTGCCAATGTATGACTTTAGGAGTGGTGCTGAGAGTAGTGTGATTCACTCCGGATCTAGCTTGAAATCATTCAGCAGACTTTAAGGACTTGCTAGACCACATTTTGTCGGATCCTGAGGAATTTGGATTCATTGAGGGGACACCCTGGTTGTGTGTGTTCTTGTAGAGGAAGCTAGTATCGGGCTTAACCATAACCCCTAGACATGCTGGAACAGTGATTAAAAACCCTTAGTCAACTTGCATTTATTCCTATCTTTAGGGTTTCTTAGGCCCAGGGATGTCGTGTAACTGGTCCTTGCAGGGGACCATAACCAGCCAAGGCATTATGAACCAGGTAGCCATTTCCCTCTAAAGGGTTCCTCCTACAACCCAAGGACTTCCATGTTATCCTCAGGGCTGGGGCTGGAGGCACTGAATGTGTGTGTAGCAATTGTTTTTGGTAATAAAAGAATCACTTAGGCTGTTAACTCATTTCTTCTTTGTGTTTGGTGGCAGTTAACTAGGTGATAAGATAGAGCTACCCAGAGAGGACTGAGTATGATTACAATTTCAAAAATATATGTATATCAAATTCTGGTCTTAATTTTCTTTCAATTTTGGTACCCTTTTCTTGCTGGTGCTCTAAGCACTGGCTTAGGCTGCCCCTTGAGTAATCCAGCATTACTGATGGCCATCCATTCTTCGGTTGAGCAGCACCTTCACTGATAGTGAAGAGGGCCTTCTCTATCAGTCTTATCAGTCATGCCCACACCCAATCTATCTGGACCGTGAGAACATCAGAAGAGATTCTGGCTTGCTACTATGTGTGATTCCAGTTCAGGAGGAGGGAATCTAGGGCTCAGCATGCATGGGTTAGCTAGCACTGGGCGAGGAATGAGGGATTATTAAGTCTAAGCAACCAGAGACCTGTGGAAGGATATTAGAGGCTGGGGGTGGGTGGGAGTAGACCCCTGGGGCGGGGAAGGAAACTACTAATTTGACTGCCTTAGAGTTTCATCAGGAGTCAGGCCATGAATCAGATCAGACATCATGGTATCTAAAGATTAAGGAGATACTCTATCTTACTCTTTCTCATAGAAGTGAGAATAGAATATAGGTGGCCCAGGAATGTGGAAGCTCATGCTCCTTATGGCAAGTCCACAACTTCAGAGAGGAGCACAGAATTGCTGAGTGGGTATAAAAGAATTCTCTGAAATGAGAAATGGAAGGAATTGTTGTAGGGAATAAAATCATTTCTGTAAGATGATGTAGGGAATAAAATCATTTCTGTAAGATGATGACCTAGTGAATATAGGTATTCAGTGAAAGGTGAATGAATTTTGCTCAAGATCTGAAATTCCATGGTGTGCTTTAGGAATGAAGAGCATACCATTTCATGTACAGTAGCAAAGGGATTTGAGACAGGGGAGGTTGGCGGAGACAAATCTTTTTCATACGTTGCTAAATAGCTTGAATTTCTTGACTGGCCAAGGAATATATAGGGTAGGTAGATGAAACTTGGAAAGGAATAGAGACACATTTTAGTGGAGAAAAGGGATGGATGGGAGTGGATGTGGATTTAGTTTATGGGAAGTGAGACATGAGAAGGATTTCATGCCTGCTGGTAGGAATTAAGGTTACTGAGGGGTAATTTTCTGGATTAAGGAGATTTATAAGAATTGTCAAGTTTTAAAAATGCCATTAATAGATTTAGGAGTGAGATATGTCACCTTATGACTCAACTGAGGTTGAAGATCAAGATCAGGCAGTGGTAACTAACATCCAGATACATTTCTTTTTAGCAGATACCAGCACCCTTGGAGCAGAACACAGACCACTGGGTTGATCCACATCCAAGGCCTGATAGCCAAGATGAGGATTGCTTAAGGCTAAGGAGCTGGGTAATTAGAGCAGCTGGAGAAGGATCGTGAGATCCATGCTGGACAGGGAGGCCTTAAGAGACTGGAAGGTAGTAGTTAGAATCAAAGCATTGAAAGTTCCAGCGAGGCTTCTGAAAATTGAAGGGCAGAAGGGAAAAGTTGTGGTCATAAAGGAGACATTTTTTAATGGAGCTATTCAGAGTCCAGAGTATGTCCACAGAAAAGTAGGCTACTGAGTGGAGACAGAGATCGGAGTAGAGAGACCAAGGGAAATAAAGCATTTTGAACACCTACCAGCAGAGGCCTTTCTATCCTACTCTCCAGTAAAGTATGCCCTGTAGTAAGAAGAGAGTAAATGGGCCCCAGAAAAATGCTGAGCAGATACCTGGTCTGAGGCTGGTGCAACGGAAAGGATACAGCTAAGGAGTTTGGTGGGAGTTCAACTTCTAGAGGAAGGAAGGCAGCAAGCTGAGACTGGAAGGAGAGGAGTGTATGGATTCTTAAGAAGAGAGACTCTTGGCCAGAGAGCCTTGGCATTCTGCAGCTTTGGAGTACCCATCACTTCTTATTAAAAGAAGATGGCGCTATATAGCAGGAGAGGGATAGAGAAGAATTACACTTTTAAAATATACTTTCATATTGCTTGATTTTGTTATATGTTATACTCTTATTTTGAAAACTTTTTTAAAAAGCAACAGCAGGGACTCTGAGTTGTAGTTTCCCCTCCGCTGCTTGGTCTCAGTGCCTATGCCCAACTTCACTGCCAGCCTCTGGAGGGAGAGGGCTCCGTCAGGCTCCTCCTCTGTCTACCCTTCCCAGTTCTGGGCTGCATTTCTCCAGGTGGCCAGAAGAGGGTCCTTCCATGGACAAGGACACTAAAACCATTCCTTCCCAAGGTGAAAGACTTAACGGTGGGCAAGGGAGGTATGGTAGATGAGTGACCTGGGTGGTGGAAGTGGAACTACACTACATTAGTTCCAAAGTCCTCAGTCCAATTTCTTTTCAGCTCCCATAGAACCCTGACACTCTCCTTTTCCCATAGGTTCATAAATCTTACTAACTGCTCCCACAAATCCTCACCCAGAGCAGCCTGTATCAGATTAGCTCCTGTCACTAAGCTGAGATGGGAATTTCTGCTTCTGTTTCTCTCCTCTTAAGCCAATTATCGTCAGCCCTTACCTGTCTGGGTCTATGGAACCTTCCCTGAAAGGAGGCTCTGTTTTGGTGGTTGAAGGAGAAGGTCTGGGTGGAATTGGGGAGAATCCTAGAGAAAGAAAAGGATCAATCTCAGAGAATGGAAGAGGTCTCTTTGGGGAAAAGGGAGAGGGTCCATCTGGGCATTGATGGAAAGTCTGTGGTGGGAAATAGGTTTGTTCTGGAGATAAGGAGGTCTAGACAGAGGAATGAAGGTTCTTGAGCAATGGTTCTCAAACTGGTCCTCAGACTGGCAGTATCGGTATTACCCAGGGGCTTATTAGAGATGTAAAGAGTCTGGCCCCACTCCAGACCTACTGAATCAGAAACTCTGGGAGCAGGGGCCAGCAATCAGTTTTAACAAGCCTTCCAGTTAATTCTGATGTGTGCTAAAGTTTTAGAACCAGTGCTTTTGAGTTACGAGGTCTCTTTTAGGAGTTAGAGGTGTGTGTTCTAGAGATTCAAAGGTCTGTCTGGGGGATATGTGGTGGGAGTGGGGGAATATCTCTTAGAATGGGGAGGGTGTGTCCTAGGGGACCTCTAGAAGGTTGGAAAGGTTTCTATCCTAGAATGAGAAGAGGTCTATTTAGAGGAATGGAGATGGATCTGCTTTATAAAATGAGAAGGTGACAATATTAGGGAATGAGGAAGTTTGACATAAAGTCATGATTTAGAATCACTAAGACTTGGATTTAGATCCCTGGATCCGTCATAGTAGCTGCGTGACTTCATACTTGTACTTAACACTTCTGAGTCTCAGTTTCCTTCTTTGAAACCTGGGAAGAAAATATTGACCTCATAAAGTCATGAGGACTGGTTAGACCATTCAGTCAACAGATAGCTACTGAGTGTGTTTTCTGTGTACAAGTTCTGAGAATACGAGGAGGAAGAGACAGCCCTTTCCTCAGAGATCATATCTCTATGCTGGCTGCCTAGCATGTGGTGGGCATTCAGTAAATATAGTTTCTCCTCCTTTGCCAAGGAAATGGGAGTTTCTTCTTGGGGAAAAGAAACAATCATGAACCATAGCAAGTCTGACCTGGAGAGTAAGAATGTGTATGAATAAAAAAAAAAATCATCTATTACTAAGTATTTGTATTTGAACCTCATAAAAATCTTTTGAGGCAGATACACAGGATTTTTATTTATCGTCACCATTATACAAATGAGGATCAAGAAGGTGGAAAGATTTGCTGAAGAGTATAAAACTAGTAAGAGAACCAGAGAAGAAGGAGGAAGAGGGAGGTAGACGGAATAACAGGGGTCAAATATATGGTGACAGAAAGAAACATAACTATGGGAGGTGAACACACAATGTAAATATATATATGCCTTACTGTTAAAATGTACAGCTGAAACTTATTGGATTTCATTAATGTCACCATAAAAAAATTAAAAAAAAAAAACTAGTAAGAGATAATGCCAAGGTTAGAATGTAAATCTTCTGACACAGAAGAAGATCTGTTCACAAAATGGGGAGAGAGTGTCTTAGAGAATGAGAAGGCCTGTTCCAGGAAAGAGAGAGGACTTTAATGGGTGGATGACGGGAGTTCTAACCTAAGATATTTTGGTAGTGGCTCTCAACTTTGCCTACCCAGTGGGATCAGCTGGAGAGCTTTTAAAAATACTAACGCTTTCATCCTACCTTAGAGATCAGCATTAACTGGTAAAGTGTTATCCAGACATCTTTTAAAAAAAAGTCCCCCAAGTAAAGCTAATTCTCAGCCAAGGCTGAGGACCACTGCTTTGGGGCATGGGGTGTGAATTCCAGAGTGTGAAAAACTATTATAAGACTTGGAAATGTTGATCTCTGAAGATGGGGAAGTCTGCCTTCAGGTGGGGGACAGTGTGTTCCTAAGAAATGGGAGGAAATTTTCCTGAGAATTGGAAAGTTGTAGATCAAGGAATGGAGGTGGGTGTCATTAGATATGGAGATTATCTTGGGAGAATGAAAAGCCTTGCTAGAAAATGGAGAGAGATGGTTGATTTGGGAATAAGGTTCTGAGATGCCTATAGAAAAATGGGTAAAAACAAGGACTTTAGGGTTCAGGCCCTGCTCTGCTATCAACTAGATGTGTCCCCTTGGGCACATTGCTTAAATTCCCTATGCCTCAGTTTCTTTATCTCTAAAGTGAGATTGTAATACCTGCCTCATAAGGATATTGTGAGGATTAAACGAGATAATGCCTGGTCCATAGTAGTTGCTCAATAAATGCAACTGTCGGGGCATCTGTAGTAGAGCACTGGAGGTGTGGGGGGAGGAAGACATTTTACTCCCAAGGTTCTTTCAGATGGTCTAATAATCAAATAGACATGAGGCAGTTTAGCAAGAGAAAATGACCACGTAAATACATACATATGTATGAGAACTCTACATATGTGAGAGAATCAGAGACTCCACATACATGAGAGATTCAAAGACAGAATGGGGAAATATATATGACATCCTGAGTTAGGGATGAGGGAAGGTGCCTTGGGGGTCATTGCAGGATGATAAGAGCAGATGTTTGGAAATTAGAAGTTTGCTTTGTCCTATAGATAGGTTAAATATATAGATATAGATATAGATATATAGATATATCCGATAATCTGTTATTATGGGAAGGTCTCTAATTCAAATTCCTCTAGATAGTTAAGGGTGTGTGTGTGTGTGTTTCTCTTAAGTCTACAGGGTCTTTGTTGCCTTTAGCTCAGAAAAATTCACATACAATTCACAGAGGCACATCTTGGCGTAAGTCATTCTGAATTCCTACAGAGGTTACCTTGGAGAATCAAGGGTCCATCTAGAGAAGGAAAAGGTGGTACTTTGGGGTATAAGGTGAGGGGAAGTTAGGGAGGGCTAGCTCCAAAACCCACCTAAACCTCACAGTTATGGGGTAGAACCTGGAGATGTCCTGCAGGGGCCGACAGCCTCCAGGCTGTGGAGAGGCTGGAGGGGGAGGGGAGGTGAGCAGGAGAGGTTTGACTGCTAGTAACCTCTCAACTGCTGCAGTGAGGAGAAGCCTCAGTGGTGGTGACAGCAGCAGCCTCCCTTTCCATCTGTCTCTGCTGTGTGACAGGTGGGAATTTAAAAGCTCAGGTCACGGTATCTCAGCTGACCTACTTGCCTCTTGAAGACTGGGGCTGGTGCAGACAGGAGCCAAGAGGAATTGCCCAAGAAACAGAGCAGGGGAAAGCCTTAGGAGTGCTCTGGGGACCTATGAAGGCTTATGGGATGAGGAGAATGAACACGTGATCAGAAGATGCCACAGGCATGTGCCTGTCTTAAAGGCCTGTGTTTACCTGGGAGAATAAAGATTTCTACAGTTGGAGCAGGCTGAACTGTGGGTACCAGTTTAACCTTGGAGCTGCCTGCAAGCTCTCCTAAAGCAGCCACCCTCTGTCCCTTCTTAAGTAGTTTCCTTGTTCTTAGGACAAGGTGGGGGAGAGGGGGGAGGAGGATGTCCAATACTTGCTTTAAAAGCCTTTTTATGTAATTTGGGGATTCTCTCGGGGAGAAGCCTGAGCTCAAGGGCAGGAACTGAGGGAAATTGATTGGGAGACGGGGTGCAGACCTGCACACAGCTTTACAATCCCTTGAGAGTGATGGAATCTTCATTCCAATCCTCCCGACTACCACCACCGCTATTGTCTAGTCTGTAATCCAAGGACTTCAGTTCTCCTTTCCTCACTGCCTCTAAATCAGCCCTTTGCTGCCAACTCCTAGTCCTGGGTCCAGAACTGCGCCCTTTGGGGCCCTCACGTCACCAGCGCTGCTCTCCTGTTCGCCATCCTCGCGCCCGGCAGGCTGCGGGCGAACGCGGGCCCTTTAAGAACAGCGGTACCAGCGATCGGTAGCTTAGTGGAGAGCGCAGTCGCCCGGCGGGCTCAGGAGGACAAGGCACTGAGGACCAGGCTCGGGGACCCAGTGTGCACAGCCCAGGCGAGTCAGCGCGCGCCCCATCCGCCCATCACCACCTGTCATCTCTCCTCTGACCTGAGGCCGGGGCCCTCCACTGCAGCCCTCCCCGCCCCGGCCCCGCCCCAGCCCGGGCTGCCGGGACCGGGAGCCGGGACGCGGGTGCTGCAGCCAGAGTCAAGTAAGGAGGGATCGGAGTCACCACCCCTGGCCGGTGACAGCGCTAAGCATCTCGGCTCCACACCGGCCCCGGGGCACGTCAAGGTGACTAGGCGAGCAGAAGATAGGAGGTGGGTAAACTCTCCAGGAGGGGCTTAGTTGGCTGTGGGGGTTTTAAATCCCAGCTGAGCGCCTGTCTTTGGGGGAGCGTGCGGGACCAGGGACGCAAGTATAGGAGCTGGCCAGGGAATCGCGCCCAAGGATGCGGAGAGGCCCAGAACCTCCTCTTCCTCCGCCTTCCCCTGGTCGATCCTGCGCTCACTTTATCCTGATCTCTCAGCAGTCGGCCTCCGCCGGCTGGCCCTTCTTCCGCCCCGCCCCCTAACCATCCAGTCCCCCGGGGCTGCTGGCCCGCGGGTAAGGAGATTAGAGTCGCCGCCGGGGGGAGGGAGCTGGTGACGGCTTCGAGGGGCCGGGCTGGGACCAGCCTGGGGTTTGGGCTGCCTGGGACCGAGGAGAGGTCGGGACTGAACGTTGCTGCGCCGCGTGTGGGGGGCGGGGAGAGGGCAGATGCTCAGGCAGTGGGAAGTGGGGTGCTCCCAGTAGCCGACCTGCCCTGAGAAGAAGGCGGGGAGTGGGAGGGAGGGCAGTATTAGAAAATAAGGGAGCTTTGAGCCGGGGCTTGGGGTCTGCTGGAACTGAGCAGGCCCTCTCCCTGCAGGCTAGTGGCGTGATGGCGGAGAAGGCGCTGGAGGCCGTGGGCTGTGGACTAGGACCCGGGGCTGTGGCCATGGCCGTAGCGCTGGAGGACGGAGCGGAGCCCCCTGTACTGACCACACACCTGAAGAAGGTGGAGAATCACATCACCGAAGCCCAGCGCTTCTCCCACCTACCCAAGCGCTCAGCGGTGGACATAGAGTTCGTGGAGCTGTCCTATTCTGTGCGGGAGGGGCCCTGCTGGCGCAAACGCGGTAGGGAGCAGCCTGGTGGGGAGCTGTGGCCACCCTCTTCCCCCAGTGAGTTGCTTTTTCCAGAGCACAAGGCCTGGGTGTCCCCTGTTCTGCAAGTCCTGCACCAGTGGGCCTTGTGGGAACACTAAAATCTTAGGCTCTCACTTGTGAATGCAATTGAGGTACCAGAGTCCACCTTCCCTCCACACCTGTGAGCACTTGAGACACTGGGTTTAATTGGTTATTGAAGCTTTCTTCTTCTAAGTTGACACCATGACCTCTGGTCCTTGAGTTTTTCTTATTTACTTTTAGATTGGATTCCTGCTTTTGAGTGCTGGCATGAGAAAGTGTGAGGGTGGGGTGTTGCAGGGGTTCTCAGTGTTTAGCAATATCCTTTTACCTACAGAACACTGCTAATTTTTAAAGATGTTCTTAGTCCTATATCTTACATCATTCTTGCCTAAGTTCTCTGAAGCAGGGAGGGTGAAGTTTTGGCAGGATAGATGACATCCCACGTTACTAATCAGGAAACTGAGGCTCAGGGAAGTTGAGGAACTTGACCCATGTCACATAGCTAATAAGTGGCAGTGCTGGGACCAGAAGCCAGGTTTTACAGCTCTCCTTTCATTGTTCTGTCAACATAAGAATGTCCAGACCTATAGAAAAAAATTTATGAGTTTTTTTAGAGTTTATTTGAGCTAAACTGAGGACACGCCCCGAAGCAAGACCTCAACAGATTGAGAAAATGCTCCAGAAAATGGCAGTTTGCAGTTCTTTTTATACATTTAGAATCAAAGGAAAGAACATAATTAATTGCTAGTATAGTAGGGAGGCGGAAGAAAGCAAAGTGGGGAAATCTCTGGAATATAACATTTACAGTAAATAGAAAACATCAAGGACTTTTGGTTCATGTGCTCTCATGAGGGTGGTTAAAGCTTCCAGGGTCTGGAAAGGATTACTTTGGCATTTCAAAGGTGTGTTAACGTAGATGCACAGAAAAAATGGACAGGGCTCGCTTAAGGCAAAAACTGACCTTTTACTAAGGAAGCTATAGGTAGGCCTGGGGTGTGACTACCCACCAAGACCTGCTCAGTTAGGAATTTATGACCAGATCACCCTGAGCGATCACTTTTGTTTACCTGAGCTTGTCAGGCTTGCAAAGTGGCCCCCTGAGCTTGTCAGATTTACTACATAGCCCCCTCTTTCGTTCACAGTTCATTTCTTTCTCTTAACTTTCCTGGTATAGCATTCCCATCTCCTCCTCTTTTCCCCCATCAGGATATATGGGTAAGGTATGGGGCTCTGAGTTCCTTCGAACCCTGACCATCCCCTGCATCTCATGCCCTGGGCAGCTTGAGCTAGGAATAAAGAAGCTGTTTTTTGTTTTGTTTTGTTTTGTTTTTTTCCCAGAACCTGGGTATGGGGCCAGGGTGGATCTGGGACATTGTTCTTTGAGGTTTAAGAAATAGATCTGGGGTACTTCCGAGCAGGGCTGAGCTTGAGCTGTCTTACATTCCCCACCCTTACTCCAATGAGTGACCAAAAGCTCACAAGACCCAAGCTAATGGAAACTGAGGCATCTGGACTTCTTGCCCAGCACCCTATCCCTAAGTAGCCTCTCTCAGTCCTGAGATCAGCTCTGGGCAAAATGGGGAAGTAGCTGTTAATTTCTTAGCCCTCATTTCCTCTCAGTTTTAAGGAGAATGAAGATTAAAAAGAGACGCGGCTAGATGGGCCAGCTGATTGCTTCAACCCACAAGCTACAAAATTGGCACCCCTGACCTGGCTCTACCCTCCTTTTGGCCTTACCAGCTCCATTTTGCTCTACTGTCTATTTTGCCGACTCTTCCGTCCCTAACCCCTTCCCCTTTTTCTGCCCTCTGTCTTCCTCTCTCTAACTTCTCTTTTCACTTGAATCCCTCTCTCCTTCTGTGGAGAGCAAAAACAATTGCAGGTAAGCAGAAAGGGAAAAGAGAAAGGGGTGTGGAGAGAGGGAGATGTCTGTCTTTTCCAGGTAAGGATTCATCACCAGTCTCCCCTAATTATTTGTGATGCTTCTTGTTTTCCATAACACTTTCCTATTAATTATTAATTACCCACTTAATATTCACAATAACCCTATATATCCTTGGGAGGAGATATTACTATCATTATGTTATAGATGAAGAAATGGAGGCACTGAAAGATTAAGTGACTTAAAATTACCAAGAGAGTTATTGACTGAGGCGGGGCTAGAGCTCTGGTGTTTCTCTGCTTGAAGGCCTGCCTGGTAGGCCCCTTCCACGCTAAGCAGTTATGGTATAGCAGAAATCCGAAGACATGGGCCACTTGTAAGCTGTGTGACCTTGGGCAGACTGCTTACCCTCTCTTGGCCTCGCTTTCCACATCTGTAAACTGAGATGATAAGAATACCCACTGCTTAGGCTTGTTTTGAGGCTTAGTTGAGATTTTATCTGTAAAAATGCTTTGCGAAAGGCAAAATGATATATTCGGCATCATTGTTTAATCTAGTGCTTGGCTGTGATTAAATGAGGGGAGGTTTATCATTGCCAGTTTCTTCCCCTGCGAAAGAAATCACTTCCTAAGAGTGGCTCTGAAAGGCATATGCTGAGGTACACAAGCACACATCTTTCTGACTGATGATGATGATGACTGAGGCACAGGGCTGGAACCCATGACTTCCCTCAGTAAGGAACTTGCTGTGTGACCTTGGGTGAGTCACTGGATGTCCCTAGGCCCCAGTTGCCTCATTGATGTTGCTATTGCAGCAACTGAGGTAATGAGCTTTGTAGATTGTAAAGCACCATTCGGGCAGTTGGTATGATCAGGACTCCACAGTGGGCAGCAAATCCCCTTCTGACAGGATGTCCCAGAGTGCTGTGGTAGGAGGGTGAAAGATCACATCCCTTCAGTGTGTCTGCTAAGGAGGTAGAATGGAGAGGGAATTGGGTTCTATGGGGGTCAGAGAGGGTGGTAGTGAACAAAGTACATGGTAGGGAATTGGTGTTTCAGCCTCACTGAGGCAGGTCTGCAAGCATATTAGGCATGGCTGGCCTCATTGGCTTCATCCTTCTTTTCCACTTCCTTGTCTCACCAGGTAACCCATGTTGTCTCTGCTCTCTGCTCCCTGGATTGTACTACGTATATGTTCTTACATGGCAGAGCTTTTCCTCTCAAAGCCTGGAGAACCTCTGCCTTCCCTTCCAATTTTGGAATGCTTCTCATTCTTTAAGACTTAGCGCAAATGCCACCTCTTCCATGAAGCCATTCCTGATTTTTCCCTTGCTCCTCTACCCTCGTCAATTCACATTGTCTGCATCCTCATTATGCATTATTTATACTTTTGTTATAACCTTTATTTTATCTTTTCTTAGATCCATAGATGTTTTCCATCTTTTTCACATAAATTATGACCTTCTTGAGTGCAGGAGCTATGTCCTAATTTTTTTGTCCAGTGTCTGTTACAGAGCTTGGAATGTAGTAGATATCAATAAGCATTAGTCAAATAGAATTAATAATAAAATGTCACTTTTTTTTATAGTGTATTCTATGTGCCAAGCACTGTTATATGCTTTATATATTATCTCATTGAATCTTTATAAAAGCCCTATGAGATAGGTACTATCATCCTCATTTTACAGATGAGGGGCCTGGAGCTCAGAGAGGTTAAGCACTTGCCTGAGGTCATACAACTGGTAAGTGTGGAGCCAGAATTTGAACCTAGATCCACCTGACTAGGTGAATGAAAGATGAGATTTTCCTGGGCCAAGTTAGGGGCTGCAGAGTCAAGCATGGTGGGCAGAGAGAACACAAAAAATAAGGCCTTTTGAGAAAGAGGCCAAAGCTCTGAGAACACATATTCATAGAACAAACACTTAATGAGCATCTAGTACACACCAGACAGTCTGCTGAGGTTACAAAGATGAGTAAGACACAGACCCTGCTCCCAAGGAGATCACTGGCTAAGAGGCTAGCAGAGGTGGGGAAGAACAGGCACAGCAAGTAACAAGCATGCTGGCATATGAGAAGTGAACACAGAGGACACTCAGCCAGCATGGGATGGATCATTGGGAAAGTCACTTCCTGAGAGAGTGACTGCTGTGTTTATAGGAGATGAACAGGGTCTTCTATAACCTTGATTCCCCTCTCCATGTCCATTCATGAAATGTAGGGTTTTTTCTCCCTTGGCCTTCAGAAGATATTGTCACCTCTGATACTTTGACATTAGTAGTAGTCATTTCTGTGGGAACAGGATGAGAGGGTTTGGATTATTGTAGGAGCTCTGAGGGGTTGCTCCTCCATCCTAACCAATTCACACTGAGTAGGGAATGCTTATTTCACTGATAGTCATGGTTGCTTCTAAAAGTTTGGAATACCTCCGTTCACTGTAGCCATTGTCAAAAGTTCTTTCCTCCCTCACTTCAGGTTATAAGACCCTCCTCAAGTGCCTATCAGGTAAATTCTGCCGCCGGGAGCTGATTGGCATCATGGGACCCTCAGGGGCTGGCAAGTCCACATTCATGAACATCTTGGCAGGATACAGGTAAGGACTAGGCTTGAGTGGAATGGGTGCAGGACTCAGGAAGAACGATCCCCTGGGGAGCACAGAAGGTGTTCTGAAGTATCCTTGACTCCCATCCCCAACTGATGTTCTTGCAGGGAGTCTGGAATGAAGGGACAGATCTTAGTCAACGGGAGGCCTAGGGAACTGAGGACCTTCCGCAAGATGTCTTGTTACATCATGCAGGATGACATGCTGCTGCCACATCTCACAGTGTTGGAGGCCATGATGGTGAGGGCTGGATTGCCATCTCATCTTCCCAGTTGCCACTTCTGTCTACTGTTCCCGTTCTCCTCATTGGCTAAGGGGTCAAGGCAGAGCCCCCCTACTATACATATCTGACCCATCTATTCTCCGGGCCCCAGGTCTCTGCTAACCTGAAGCTGAGTGAGAAGCAAGAAGTAAAGAAGGAGCTGGTGAGTGGGGAAGGGGAAGGAGGAGGGGAAGGGAAGGGAATGGGAAAGCCATCCATTTTGGTGTTACTGAATTCTGGGCCCAGAGTTGGGGGATGTGACAGTGGTGGCCAAGGCTGGCACATTGGACTTAAGGGAGGTGTTTATTTAAACTGGGGTGATGCCCAGGGAAGCAGAGACTCTGAAGCTGATCTGGGGTGGGTGGGGTGGGCTGGGCTAGGTGACAGAGATCCTGACAGCACTGGGCCTGATGTCCTGCTCCCACACGAGGACAGCCCTGCTCTCCGGAGGCCAGAGGAAGCGCCTGGCCATCGCCCTGGAGCTGGTCAACAACCCACCTGTCATGTTCTTTGATGAGCCCACCAGGTAGTTCTCCCCCTCATCTCCCACTAGGTTGCCCCCTCTCCTCAGCCCTGAGCCTAGGCTGGAGGCTGCATCTGCTCCACTGCTAGAGACTAGAGCCTGTGTTTGCAGCCTCCTGGTGGCCGGATAAGGGCTTATTCTGCATCTTCATCCCTACCAATCCTGTTGCCATAAAGGCCCTATCCTTCACCCAGGCAGAAATCCCAATGTCCTCCTTGACTGATACTTCCCTCTTCTCTCCCTGACAGCCAATCAGTCACCAAGTCCTGTTGATTCTCCCTTCTTTTGCCATCTCTCAGATTCGCCCCATCTCTATCCCTAGTGCCAGTGCTCAAGTTCAGGACATCAACTCTTGTCTGCATTTCTGCAACAGACTCTTATTTCCTCATCTCCAGTTTCTCCAAGCCAATCTTTTCTCCAAGCTGCAGGCAGAGTGAACTTTCTAAAAGACAAGTCTGATGATTCTCACTCCCTTGCTTAAAAACATGCAATGATGCCCATTTGCCCTCAAAATAAAGTCAGAGGATTTAAAAGGTTCTGCTCTGAACCAACTTCTCTGGCCTCACGTCTTGCTTCATGCTGTCTTGTATTTTATGCTCTAGTAATATTGAATTGCTCATAATTCCTTATTCAAGCCATGTATTTCATGCCTCTAAGCTTTGCACATGCTGTCTTCTGCCTGGAATGCCCATTACCACCATGCCTGCCTTTCCACCTTCACCTGGCTTAGTTCTGTCTTATTACAGACTCAACTCAGGAACCTTCTTTGACTACCCTGCAACACCTTTGTACAGCATAGCTGAATTCTCTCTCTTTCACTCCATGTTTCCATAGCATGTTCCACATTATCTCAAATGATCTGTGTATTTATCTCTCCCTCTTGACCAGAGTCTATGTCTTACTTATTCATCATTGTAATGCCAGTGCCTGGCATTCAACATGTGCTCAGTATAAGCTTGTTAAACTGCACAATGCTTTGGGCTTCTCAGTACCTCCAAATGCCTGAATCTTACAGTATGTACACGGTATAGGGGTAGCCAGAGTAACCCCTTCCTGCCAGCTCCATCCTCTTTATAGTAGCTGCCCAACCCTAAACATTCCTTTCTTTTGCTTCTGCCCATCTCACCCCACTCCCTGGTGGCCTCTCTCTGGACAGTGGTCTGGACAGTGCCTCCTGTTTCCAAGTGGTATCCCTCATGAAATCTCTGGCCCAGGGGGGCCGTACCATCATCTGTACCATCCACCAGCCCAGTGCCAAGCTCTTTGAGATGTTTGACAAGGTGAGTGTCTCTGGTCCTCAAAAATGATTGGTGTGTGATAGGAAGAGTGAAGAGCTTCAAGAGAAGTGTGGTGGGGCCTACCTGGCCCATTGGTCTTGTTTTCTTCACCTTTCTCTTTCCGACTCAGCTCTACATCCTGAGCCAAGGTCAGTGCATCTTCAAGGGCATGGTCACCAACCTGATCCCCTATCTGAAGGGGCTTGGCTTGCACTGCCCCACCTACCACAACCCGGCTGACTTCAGTAAGTGGGAGACTGTTGGTAGGGGATGGGATATGATGCTGGGGCCAAACCAGGTGACTTGGGTCAGGCACTCAGGCCTCCTGGGGTCAAAGATCTTACTATCACCTGCTTTCCCCACACATCCAAGGAGGGGCTAGCTTGACCTTGGGAACCAAGGGTAGAGCTCAGCTGAGCACTCCCTTTTTGTCCCCCAGTCATTGAAGTAGCCTCTGGTGAGTACGGAGACCTGAACCCCATGCTGTTTAGGGCTGTGCAAAATGGGCTGTGTGCCATGGCTGAGAAGAAGAGCAGCCCTGAGAAGAATGAGGTCGCTGCCCCCTGCCCCACTTGCCCTCCGGTAAGTAGGGGTGAAGAAGGCAGAGTGTAGAGTGGGGGCAGGGAGAGGGGACCATGACAATGGTCCTGCCAAAAGGCTATCCCCCAGAGGCATCACAACCATTGGGTATTAGAATAGACCTACTATTAACAGCTGTGTGACTTTGGGCACCTTACTTAAACCTCTTTGAGCTTCTGCTTTTTTGTTCATTTATTCTTTCAGCAAATTCTTACTGAGCATATATAGTGTGTCATCCCCAGTGTAGGCACAGTACCACCTGGTAAACAAGACTGATGCTGTCTCTGGCCTCATGGCCACTGTAGATTGCTGTCATCTCTAATCTGGAGGTGATGATACTTACCTCACAGAGTTATTGGGATGACTAAGATCACCATGTAAAGCTCTTTGCACTGTAGCTGGTTACAACTGGCATTTGTTTAATGCCAGTTTTCTTTCTTAAATGAGATACTATAAGCCTCAAAAAACCAGAAGTGTTATCTTATTGTTGTCATCGTTATTATCGTTGTTAAAAAATATTGTGAAACTGGTGGCATAAAGATACTATACCCTTAAGGTAAATGTTTTTCAATAAATTAAAAAGAAGAAAAGTTACTGATTTACTAGTTGCCCCTGTGGGCATCCCTGACTCCCTTTCTCTCTCCTCCCTCCCAAGTTTTTACCCCTTATCATGTGTCCCTCTGAATCTCACTCTGATTCACATCCTGAGGCCAGCTTCCAGGTACAGAACTCAATGGTGGAGACTTCTCCTTCAGTACATCTGGAGGACCCTTTGCCTTGGGGAAGGGCTCAGGGGTTTTCCCATTCACTGGGCTGGGTACGCAGTGGGTGGATATGTAGGCTTACCAATCCAATTTTCTCTCCCCAGGAAGTGGATGCCATTGAAAGCCACACATTTGCCACTAGTACCTTCACACAGTTCTGCATTCTCTTCAAGAGGACTTTCTTGTCCATCCTCAGGGACACGGTGAGGCTTCAAGTTGGAGGAGAGGAGGCTGGCAAAGATCTAGCCTTTGGGGGCATAAGATCTCAACAGCTGGGATGGGAGTGGGGTCCCTCCCCCAGCAGCACCCCCCAGTACACCTATAAGTCTATGTGCCTGTGAGGGTGGCTCCGAGTTCCTGCTCTAGTGTGGCTGCCCATCCCTGGCCTGTGACCCATCCCCTCTCCTAGTGATGACCCAATCACACAGGTCCTGACCCACCTGCGGTTCATGTCCCATGTGGTGATTGGCGTGCTCATTGGTCTCCTCTACCTGCACATTGGTGACGATGCCAGCAAAGTCTTCAACAACACCGGCTGCCTCTTCTTCTCCATGCTGTTCCTCATGTTTGCTGCCCTTATGCCAACTGTGCTCACCTGTGAGCTGAGCTGCCCTGGGCAGGGGTGGGGATGCTGGGGCATGGGATAGGAACCAGGGTGTCAGCCAGCTATGTTTAATCTACCTGTGTCCTTAGTCCCCTTAGAGATGGCGGTCTTTATGAGAGAGCATCTCAACTACTGGTATAGCCTCAAAGCATATTACCTGGCCAAGACCATGGCCGATGTGCCCTTTCAGGTGAGTCTCTTCCTCCTACCTGCCTGCTGCCTCCCTCCTGTCTTGCTCCTTCTGTCCTTGCTCACTGGCCTCCCTCAACCTTGTCATCTGTCATCTTTTCTTTACTTCTACTCACTTAGCAGATAAGTGGTGAGTACCTACCATGCACCAAGTTCTATGCCGGGCACTAGGATCACAGCAGCGAACAAGACAGATATAGTCTTAACCTTGTGGAACTTATGTTCTAATGGTAATGGATGACAAATTGAAAATAGTGAAAATAGTAACACTACAAATGACTCTGTAAATCTTATTTGAAGCAGTAGAGAATAGCGTTGACTCTGGAGCCTTACTGCTACTTGTTAGCTGTGAGATGTTGGGCAAGTCATCTACTTTCTTTGCTTCAGTGTCCCATCTATAAAACGGAATGACAGTAGTATCTACCTTGGAATGTTTGTGAGAATTGAATGCATTAATACAAGTAAAGTACTTAGAATGGTGCTTGGCACATACTAATGTCCCCATTAAGTGTTAGCTGTTTTGGGTTGTTGTTATAGCACCCTGTTTCAAGCACTAGGGCCCTGTAGGGGGCGCCTTTTTACAAATTAGAAAAAAGCACCCCTTCTTCAGGGTGGATGTTGCACTGTGCCACAGTACATGGCTTAGTGAAAAGAGCACAGCAGGATCCCAGCCTCTGGCTGCCTCTTGGTTGGGTATCCTTGTGT